ATCTTACGTGACATTTCAAACACCACTATCTTGCCAATGACTATGCCTGGGGTCATGGTGCTCAAGTCCTCCATGTTGTGAAGGATGGTAGTGGTGCTTGCATATTTCTTTTGTGGTAGCATGGAGATAATCTTCCTCACGATGTCCGCATCATCTAGCTTTGTTAATCCTATTGAATGGAGCTCATTGATAATTAGATTCAAACGAGAATATATATCACGAACAAGCTCATCGTCATTCATTATAAAGGAATCATAATTTTATTTAGCTAGACAATGTTTTTACTCACGAACATAGATGTGCCGTCATGGAGCTTTTGAAGCTTTAACCAAATTTCATGTGCCGTATTTAAAGTGAACACTTGGTTAAACGCATCCATACTAAAAGATTCAAACAAGCAATTTTTAGCTCTAGCATTGAAATGAATTTCCTTTTCTTCACTCTTCGTGGGTTTATCGGGATTCTTAATGTGTTTCATCCCGTCACGAGTGACTCTCTAAACACCCAAATCAACCGTCTCAAGGTGGCAAGCCATTCTAGCTTTATAATAGGGAAAGTTAGTGCCGTCAAAGTGCGGAGGCCTAGAGGTATCCATCCCAACCACTTTAAATAGCGTTGGCTCAACGGCGGTTAAGCCAAAGGTCCAAATTGAGCCAACCGGCTCTGATACCACTTGTAGGGGACCGTGACGCCTAAGAGGGGGGTGAATTAAGCAACTTAAAATTCTAACTCTAAACAATGCTCTCTTTTTCTAACCTTAGCAAAATCTATGCAAAAGATAAACTATCTAAATGTGTAACTACGGTTTTGCTAGTGTGTTGCTATCTCTATCGCAAAAGGAGTAATACAATCAATGTAAATACGGAAGCTAAAGATCAAGGTAGAGATATACAAACTCCCGTCGATGACTCCAGTATTTTTACCGATGTATCGAGAAGCACGCAAGCTTCCCCCTAGTCCTCGTTGGAGCCCCTCGCAAGGAATCCCTCGCAAGGGCCAAGCTCCCGGTCGGGTAACTCCGTGGATAGCCTCGGGCCTTCCCCACGCACAAGTGGGTCTCCGACGTGCCTTCCGGCAAGCCTCTCCCGGATGCTCCCCGCCGTCTTCACTATCAAGCTTCCGGCCAAAACGCCGTGGGCCTTGTTCCCTGTGGTACACGGTGGCGGCCACACCACAACCGCGGTTGGTGTGATCTCGCAAGACTACAAGCCCCTCCGATGTACAACAATGGTGCGCGCAAGCACCGAGTGGTAAGAGGTATGTAAACCTCACTAAACACTAAGCCAAAACCTAGAGCAAGCGCATAAGCGGTGGTCTAATTAACCTAAGCACTTCGTAAAAGCACCTACGCTAATCACCTAATGAATCACTAAGCACTATGCAAGTGGAGATCACTAAAATGGTCTATCAATACCCTTGATATGTTTCCTCAGCTCCACTGTCTTGATTTGACCGGTTGGGGGTTGTATTTATAAGCCCCACTGAGAAAGTAGCCGTTGGGGGAAAATCCCGCTTTTCTGCTACTGACCGGACGCTCAGGTCGTTCTGATCGGACGCGTCTGGTCGTCCCGACCGTTAGAGCCACGATCAACTGATCGGATGCTGCCAGCGTCCGGTCACATGCCACCGGACGCGTTCGGTCGCAATTTCGCCGTTCTGGAACCTTTCTGTACTCGATCGGACGCTGTTGTCCTGCGTCCGATCGATCTTGCTGTTCAGCGTCCGATCCGGTCACTTCAGTGAGCTCGTTTCTTTGTGATCTTGCGTCCGGCTTGGTTCCTATCTTCGTGCTTGGACTTTGCTCGATATCTTGGATCTTCTCTTATGCTTCTAAGGTCTTGCTTAAGGTGTTGATCATTGGATCATCACGTCGCCTTCGTCCAAGTCACGTCTTGCACCATATTGAACTACAAAACAATCACTTGCAAATTCATTAGTCCAATTTGGTTGTGTTGGTCATCAAACACCAAAATCCAAAGTAAATGGGCCTATGGTCTATTTTCCTTACACACGCTCGTGTACTCAAGGTACTACTATTTATTGAGTTTTGTAGGTGACGGTGCACCTATGTATGGGTATGGTTCTTCTACGCTCCTGATCCCTTAGCAGATTGGGATTACTAGAAGCCCTCCTATGTGAGGCGTAGGTCAAGGTTATGGCATTAAACCATGATTTGTTGTATAAAACTTATGTTTTTAAAGACTTCTATTGTAGACTTGATAGTTGTTTATTTGAATGTGATAGACTAAATGTGAAACAATGTGTCCTAGATGAAAGCTGAGTAAGTATGGTGCTACAAATGGTTGTACCCGGGATGATTGGATGGGTCGGGGTTAGGCTAGCACGGTCAATGAATGGCAACTGTGTAAACCCCCGGCGGAGCGCAGTCTTGTTAGTGGAGGGAAATCATGTCCATAATTTGTTTTAGATTTTCTTTGTTGTGATATAGTGACGTCATTGTATCATCATTGACAGTCATTGTATCATCATTGACAGCAAGAGTTGCAACAGTCTTGCAAGCTCCAAGATGGTCGAGAAGCTTGGCTTGACCACTCAATTACATACATGTCCATGCTATATCCAATGGATAAATTATTGTGATAAGATAAAGGTAAATACAATTGCATGTATTGAATTTTCGATTAATACTTATAAAGATAGTGCAGACATTAACATATACCTATGCAAGCATGTTTTTTGTTGCTAGATAAACCCTAAACAATGTTTCACATAATACGATTGCTAACAAATACATGTTCAAATACAATGGTAGCAGAATTTCTCTTTTACCTACGACTACTCCTGGAATTTTAGAAGTTGATCTTATATGAGCAGAGAATAAAGAACTAAGCCTTTAGAAAAAAAAAAGGGTTAATTCAGATGTTGTAATACCTTCCTCTAAACTTGATTTGTTATAGAATGAGTCTACTACTTTGCCTCTTGTTGGAACTATTATCTTGCAGATTGTACAAGAGAAAGAGGTCAATCAGAAGAGAATGCACATCACAATGTTTCAAGTGAGAGCTATCCTCGTATCTAGAATTTATCGACCAATCATGTGATCAAAGAGCAACATTTAGAAGAAACTTTTATTGATTTACCTTGATTTGGTCGTTATTCCTGGTGATAAGCAGGAGTTCTGCGTTGATGCTTATGTTAATCTTGTGCCACAAATAATGACAGAAAATGATTCTTTTGTTTTGGAACCAAATGCTTGTGCGGAAAATAAATTTTTTCTTCCCAATGCTGCTAGAAAAAATTAAAGAACAAAAACACAAGTTCCTATTAATACATCAGTCGGTCTTTACAGCAAGAGTAAAGTATCTATTAAATGTTTTTATAGTAGGATGAACATTGTGCACACATGGTGTGACAAGATGAACTTTGTCAAAAACATTATGTTTTTCTGCATGTGCTCAAACAAGCCATGTAGAAGAAAATCATGTCTACTGCAACTTGCAGATGCAAAGAGGATGAAATGTTGCAGATGCGACCAGCATTGCAGTGGAAAACTAGGAACTTCATTCATGCAACATGATGCAATATATCGTTACAATTTCCATGGTTTATTCATCAAGACATCAAGGACAAGTTTCTATTAATAGCTTTTATACTATACAGATGATGTGACAAGATGAACATCAAGATTATGTTGTCTGCCGCATGAGCTCAGTAATACTATACAGAAGCAAATCATGTCTGATGAAAAGAAGGTTGTGGTTGTGGATGTCATGAGCATTGAGATTGAAAAGGAGAAAGTCATTTGTGCAACATGATGCAGCATGTTAATTCAATTGTCGTTGGTTTAGTCCATTAAGGCATAAATTGTCAGCATACACGCTGCAACTGAACAATGGATTGCACGGTAGCATAACAGAACATAGCTCCACGACCCAATAGTAAACATGGCAAGAAATAGAAATCCAATCAACTATGCTCACTGCAATCCTGAACATTAGTACCTATACCCAAACCAATAATAAATACAACAATTTACGACCATATGTACAAACATTTCTTAGGAGACCACAAACAAGATGAAACATATTCTGGGCAACAACATATGATAAAGAAACTTCTAGACAGAATGTTTCCTGGATGGGAGAAGACTAAAGAGAGAAAGAAATTGTAACAAGTCTTCAACTCATCGGGGTAGACTGACATATGAACCATGATGAATACACCCTCCAATTCCTTGAACTTTATTTAGCTTCCTGTCATAATTCAATGTAGCAATGAGTGTTAGCAACATGAGATATCACTGCATTATACACACATACATAGGTTGTATCACTGTGCTGGTCCATTATAACATCGAAAAAGCAGTCTAAAAAAGCACTCACAATGTATCTGATATAAATACTGAATACGACTAAATGTAAATGTTATTTTCGTTCAATCTGACCTACCAAAACCATAACAGGTATAACATTGTTCTCTATTTAGTTTTGGATGTTACTTCACTACCATTAGTTGTTGGCACTACAGAAATATGTCCATATAATACAGATTAATTTCCATGAACAATTGGGCAAATCAAATGTGTAGCAGAAATATGACACCCTTACAAGGAATAAAGACAATTCCTCATTAACAAATTTCAGAAGTAAAGCAAAAGCACCTTTTATCCATATATATTATTATAATGCATACCACAACCACTGTTGCAAATTTGCAAAAATACACTTATTCTGAAAAAATATGTTTAGATAAAGTCAAACTAGCAAATAGTGATCTAGTATCAACCTCACATACCTCCTCTAGCTGTTGAAACCTCCAAGTTTGTTTTCTTCCTTTCAAGGATTAAAGAGGGGATCTTGCAAGCAGACAATTGTTCAAAGTTGTACAGCTTTCTCCAGTTTTTTCTGCGCTATAACTTAAGGAATATTATTTCTTCTTTTTAAGATTTGGTGCACCTTGACACCTGTTATTTACAATTGAACATCACCATCTCTGCAGGGCCATCATGTATCAAGAGATCATAGGTTGAACCAAACAAATCATTTCAATAACAGATCAGAAGTTGCAGTCTTTCCACCATTCACTGAAAGCTTTCTTTTCATCTGAATTTCCCGGACTGTTTCAGAAATCAAGAGACTCAGTTTTGGAACACTCTTAGTAGTCAATGGCAGGTCAATTCCAGCATTTCTCAAAGCTTCTATGATAAGTTTCTCAGATTTTGGGTCATGGTCAGCACATCGCAATGGAGCACTGCCTCTCAGAACAGGTTTTCCACAAGTTGCTTCCCCATTTGGCAGACCACTGCATGAAATTATAAGAGTAAACAGTTGAGACATGAATCAATGCTTGCTATGTACAAGATGAACAGAGAAAATATCTGAAAGGTAAAGTTGGCACTACACAAATTCAATGTTTCATTTCATACACTGACATGCCCATGCATATGTGCAAGACCCAAGGAAGAAGTATTGAACACTAAATATAGTTCCTCACAATGTTTTCAGGACGGCTGGTCGAGCCTGGACGCCTGAGGACCGTCTAGGACGATTAGTCGTCGTCCAGGACGATTAATCGACCCTGGACGAGTCCCCTGGTCGTCCCGGTCGTCCCCTACATATGGGGACTGGTATATACCATATATATATATATATATTATATAGTTATATATACAGTATAAAATATATACCATATATATATATATATATATACACACACACACTAGTATACTACATGTTCTAGGCTCTACTGCTCTAGATAGATAGGTCAGCTGGCCACTTACCTGGCTGCTGCAGAGCCCTTTCTTGTCTTGTTGGCTGCTGCTGCCAAACTGAAATTATAGAAAAGTAAAGCACATTAACAAAGGCAATTAGGTGAAAGGCAATGAAGTGATCAACAAAGCAAATTAACACAGTAAAGCACATAATTTAAACCAGTCCAGAACTGCATAGTGCATAGTGGCACACTGCCACTGCCATAGTGCATACTGCATAGTGCATACATCAAGTCCAGTACATAAATAGGCAAAATGGCCAATGATAAGAACTACTCAAGTAAATCAGCATCTACACGAAAGCCTCCTCCATCTCCACGGGTGTCTAGATAGGCCCAACTCTGAGATGCAGCCCACTCTCTGGCTGGACGCCCACACAGCCTGGACAGACGATTAATCGCGACTGGACGACGACTAATCGGACGTCCAATTTCCTGGACGGTCTGGCCGAGTCGGAGGCCCTGGTCGAGTAGCTCCAACCGTCCAGGACGATTAGTCGCAATTAATCGCGATTAATCGGACGTCTTGAAAACATTGGTTCCTCAGCAAAAAGAAAAATAGAAAAAAAAAATGAAAGAGTATAACCCACCAATGCAATAAGTGATAGCACCAAAACTAACTACAACCAACAATAGTTAAAGCTGAACTTCATGTAAATAGAATTCTGGATTTGGTATAGTCCTACCTAATCCCAGTAAGATACAACATTAATTATCATTCTTTTATGTCAACAAATTTACTATACAAGTATAATGATGATAAAATTTAAGAGGTCACATAAAGATAACAGATGATGATGGCATAAAAATACTATATTGTTGGGTTTTTCCAGAAACAAATGTAACATCAATGCAGTAAGCCAAAGTGTTTCATTTGACTATGTATTATGTGAAATCAGACTTAATTAAAAATTTGAGTGAAAAAATGGGAACCAGCGTCAGCGACTGTCCATTTACTTGTAGGATCATTTTGAGAACAAAACTAGTCTTCTTAATATAATAATATGCAACCCTCCTACAGGTTTGAGAAAAAAAATAACAAAACCAGTAAAAAATATGCTGGTGTTGATAAAAAGGTCACGCACAGACTGAATGGTTCAATGCCCCAACTCTGAATTCAACTGCACCACACAGATAAGACCCATACAACCAGCCAAACTGTGGAAGCATGTGGAGTTTCCATTCAGACAGGATACTCTTACTAGGCAAATATATCCTGTCATATTGAAATCGGCCAAAAATACTAAGAACATTTGAAGTCACGCTGGCACGACATGGGTGTGGCAATGCAGCCTGAGCATTCAAGGGTTTATAAGGATGTCATGCCAGTTCAAAACGCTGTGAATAATCACATAAATGCAGTACCGCAGTACGCCCACGTGTAAATTTAGAGCCAAGCACAATGATAGAGGTAAGCTTAGTCAACTGTTGCTGAGTTGCGGTGCAGCTCAAGGTATGCCATAGGTTGAGCTCAGCCATGCTAGCTTAACTTGCAAGGGTACCATGATTTTCTTCATGGGTAGGAATCAAGTGAGCATTACCGGAAAAGAAATAGTACCACATACAATGTTATGTGCAAATTAGACATGCTATGCTGTATGGTGCAGAATGTTGGCCTACGAAAAGACGACATGTTCAACAGATAAGCGTCGCGGAAATGCGTATGTTGCGTTGGATTTGCGGTCATACAAGAAGGGATCGGGTTCGGAACGATCATATACGTGATAGATTAGGGGTAGCACCAATGGAAGAAAAACTTGTCCAACACCGGTAGATATGGTTTGGACATGTCCAACGGAGACCTCTAGAGGCACCGGTGCGTAGTGGAATCCTAAGCCAGGATAGTAACGTGAAGAGAGGCAGAGGAAGACCGAAGTTTACTTGGGTAGAGGCAATAAAAGGAGACTTGAAAGGATCAAATATACCCAAAGACTTAGCCTTAGATAGGAGTGCTTGGAAAACAGCTATTCACGTGCCTGAACCTTGATTGCTTCTGCTGGGTTTCAACTCTAGCCTACCCCAACTTGTTTGGGACTTAAAGGCTTTGTTGTTGTTGTTGTTGTGGCCCACTGATAGTTATTAAGGTCATAAGGCAAGGTGTGCACCCAACCCTCTTCACATAATCGTATCACCTAGACACTTATGGCAGAGACCTAGGTGATGTCACATGTAGAATCACGAATGCCCAAGAGTAAGTCCATCTCAGCTCAACACACTGTGACACCTGACAGGATACCAAGACTATCCTTTTACTGTGCGAAAGGTAGTCTTAGGATTCCCAACCATTGCCACTTCACTTATTCCTATGACTTCATGTGGCATCCAATCATTCTTTTAGGCATTTCCTATCTTCCATTCCCCTTTGCTGCCTCCGTTTCTCCACATTGTTGCAACCTTCTTACTGAAGTCAACAAGAAAAGCAAGGGTAGCATAACAAGAGATGATGGATGATGCAGAATCTATCCCCTGAAGGGTGAGAAAATAGGTGTAATCGAACCGGAAGAGTGGGAGACAACAAAAAGAGCTGTAGAAAGTCAAGAGAACACAAGATATGGTGGAATCTTCTCTGAGAAGGGTGAGTGACAGCAGAATCAAGACAGAGAAGGTACACATGAAATGCACAGGATGAGGCCTTGTCCCGTGGCAACCTACATATTGGTTGACAATACGTTAAAAACAATGGCAAGTTTAATAGGAAGACATCAACTGTTGGTGCAGAGCTTGGTTAAGCGGAACAGCACACAAAAGGAGTTGCCAGTAGACCGCAAAATTTTAAAAGTTCAGTTAACAATCCAAGCTAGTCAAACTGGTTTGTGTGTCTCAAAACATATTTATGTTAGTCAATTTTGCTTTGGTGGTCAGAAAGTTGAGGTGATAAATGGATCCATTGAGAGAGAATTGGCAACACATGAAGAACATTTAATGCAATGCAGTAACAAAGTCCTGAGAAGACCCGAAAGCTAACTCTGAAACATTCAGCATAATATCAATTTGGATCAAGCTATTCCATCATATCTACCAAACAGTCGAGCCCCACCCTCTTTTTGTCAATGGTTAGATGGAGTAACTTGCTGAACATGGAAAGGTAGAGGCACATGCCAAAGTAATTGTGAGTGAGGATATTAATTGAAATTCACATGCAATCAATTCAGGATAAAATTGCATAATCTGATAAATTAAAATAAAGGCACTGATATAGGATATAGATAAGTGAAATGAAGAATGCAACAGCTACATAGTTAAGTTCAAGGATTCAGTAGCAATAAAGTTTCCAAAAATGCCTTTACCTATCCAAAAAGCTAGGAGGCAGCTACAAGCCAGCTCTGGCTCTGTTGCATTTTGCAGTTGCTAGTTCCCATTTTAAATCATCACATACATCCACTAGTATTTACATTTCACCAAAATAGTAGATAACTACTATAGTTAACTATATTAGTCCAGATACTAGTGTAACTAGTATTTACATTTCACCAAAATAGTAGATAAGTGCTATAGTTAACTATATTAGTCCAGATACTAGTGTAACTAACTTTTAAAAGGAAAACAAGGATTCAAGGAATACGAGGGAAACGAGGTATTCCAAACAGAATTGTGAGCCTTCACCAAATAATTGAACAATATATGTCTGCAGATTTAGTCCTTTGCCAATCATGTGGGCATACCCAGTGCAGAGAGCTCCCGCTCTGCGCGGGGTCTGGGGAAGGGTGTGTACCCTCTGCCAATCATGTGCTAGAAAATAAAAGATAACCACCAAATCAATGTGCTTGAACAGGTTTTCTACATTAAAAAAAATAGTATTAAAAAAAGTCTACAAATTCCACCTAGGATGAAATGAAGTCACTAGCAATCCTGGACTAGTGCACAAAGTCCGCCAAACAGAATTATATACAAATATTGCGAAATTATACCACCCAAGCACATCCTGGACTAGCGCACCCATGAAGCATACCTTTTCTTGGTGGGGAAGGCGCAGGGCTGATAGAGCTGCTGCTTCGGGTCCAAGAGGATGTGATTGAAGCAGTACAGGGACAGGGGCATCGCCTTGGCCTCGCAATTCGAGGCCGCACAGCCCGCCCTCCCGCCCGCAGCCGACACAGGAGGGGCAACGGCACAATTCTCCAGCGGGCCAACAACGACTCCATTCTCTGGCGGTCCAGCATTGACTCCATTCTCTTTCGGCGGCAGCAGCGGCGGGGGCAGAGCGTGCGGGGGCTCGTCGTCGAGCGCGGGGCTGGCGCCGTGCTCCCACCAGTACTCGCCGTGCCTGGCGGGGAGCTCATCGGCGAGCACCCAGTACTGGGCGCGGTAGAGGGAGCAGAGCTGCACCAGGCGGCGCCGGCGCCGGCAGAGGACCTCCTCGCGGGACAGCGCCGCCGAGAGGCTGAGCTCCGCATCGCGCGCCGCGCCAGCGACCTCCACCGGCGGGCGCGGCGGCGGCAGCGGCGGGTGGGGGTCGTCCATGGAATGGAATGGACCAGGTCACCGGGGGTATTCCACAGCTAGGGTTTCGGGGTCTAAGGAGGCGGCGGGGGAGGGGAACCAGAAGCGGAAGGTTTGCCGCCGCGCCGGGAGGCGAGGCGCGGAGCCGAACGGGCCCATCTCAGAGCAAATCCTGCCCTGACTAAAAGCAGCTTATCTTTTTTTTTCTTGTTCGGGCCATTTGCTGGGCAGCCCAATGGGTACGATGAACTATTGCCTCTGATGAACATTTTCTTAGAGACCTGCTTGTTTACTCTCGGCTAGTTTTGGTTATCTATAGTTCTATCCTCAATTTATTTATATTCTGATTCTGACTGGTGCAAGTGCAACAAAGCCGCTATGCCATTTTGCAAAATGGTATTTGTCATGGTCTGATCCATTATTTCTGTAAATGATAGTCTATGCATTTTGTAGATGGTTAATCAAATCAATGTAGGAAGAAAATCGTTTATGTTGTTTCTAAAGATAACTAAATAGTTAAGCACTTCTTGTTTTTCAATCACACAAATTTCCTACCATAATGCTTAGTGCAAAGGACAGGCTTTTTAACTAAAACAAATTACTCTAGTATCACATGTGGGCCACCACATATTCTGCTCATGAAACTTTATTATTGTTGCATCTTGTAATAATGTGATTCCTCGGCGTCCAAAATTTAGAAACAACGTAGGGCCTATTTGGAATGGTTTAAATTTTAGGAGAAGCTCTCCAGTTGTTCGCAACATCCACTCAGTGGGAGAAGCTTGAGCTAGAAAAAACTAATAGATTGGCTTTACCACTAGCTCCCATGATCGGACCATGGCGATGGAGACGAAGGTGTCCGGGTCCTACATGGAGATGGGTAGATAGGTTCTTAACCAAACGGAGGGAAGCTCATGAGTGACGCTCTCAGGAGCTCGTACACTAAAGGTGAGGGCAATGGCTAGATGGTGGGGGAGCTTGGTGTCGCTAGAGGGGAGCATAACGACATAGGTGGTAGAGCCTAGCGACATGAGAGCATATGAGTGGGAGGAAGGAGTCATGGTGATCTCAGAGAGGCTTCTCGTGGAAAACAGAGGAGTCGGGCTACAATATCTATCGTCCTACCTAACTACTCCTGATACAAGTGTTTCCTTTTAATCTACTCTAAAGAGTTTCCCTAGCAGCAACCCCCTCCTTCGGTGGTTGTCGAGTCATGGGCACATGCACGATCTATGGTGCTGCATGCCTGATGCTCTCCTTCTCTCCTCTTCCTTCTCTGATATCTAATATCGGTCATAGCAATAGGAGAGTGTGATAGCCAAAGGGGAGAGGTCAGTGCCATTGGAGGAGAGGACAATGCCGAAGGGGGGATCTAGATGCTGCACAAGAGGTGGTGTATGTTAATGGTTTGGCCATTCTCCATTTGTCTGATGCTCAACTTTTAGGGCCCCTTTGGAACAAAGGTGACGGTGCAGAATGTGACCAACTAGTAAATATTTGTAGTTTTACCGTACGTTGTGATCGGAGGTGGCCTAGCACTCAATGACACATGATTTATATTGGTTCAGGCAACGTGCCCTACGTCCAGTTTGAGTCGGTCAGCGACTTTATTCCTAAGGCCAGGTGCTCGAAGTTTGCAGTGGGGTTACAAACGAGAAGGAGAAAGATGAGGTGTACAAGAGGTCCGATCGAAAGGGCCGAGAACGACAGGAACTACGCTATGAGCTAAGTGTTCAAGCGCGTGCTTGAGGTCCGAACCTGGCGGTTCTGTGGTCGTGGACCAGTGAACTTGGTTGAACTAATGGGACTAAGAAAGGTTCTTCAAAAAGCCTTTAGAGAGAAAAAAGCCTCTCTCCTCCTTGGAGGGAGCGCACCCCCTTTTATAGATAAAGGGGGTGGTTTTACAAGTGAGGGTACGTATACTATATAGCTTTGTTGCCCACGCCGATGGGTACAAGATAATGGTAGACGCCTACAACACTGTTGATGTCACTGTAGAATGTCAGATGTATGTGGGAGGTTGCGCTGCCTTGTTCAGGAATGGTAGACGTCGGTACCTGCAAATACTATTTGATGCCTAGAGGCATGTGAGGAGTGTCACCATGTTCACCCCATACGGTAAATTCCGGCGCCCACAACACTATTGATGCCCAGAGGCACGTGGGGGCCTTACCGTATGGGAGTTTTAACGGCGCCTACAATATTGTAGGGGAAATGTCGACGGCTACAATATTGTTTGTGTTACGGCGGTTGCAGAGTACTGTCCTGCAGGTGTACAGGATATGGTCCCTGGTATCATGGTTTGACTTATGCGCCCTGGCTTGCTTTCTCCGTTCGCCCCTGCCTCCTTTCGAGCGGGCGTTCCCGGTCGGATGGCCCTAGTCGGCTCTGGTCGCGTCAGTTGGAGAAGAGCGGTGAGCAGGGTTTCTGCGCACCCCAGTCGGAGACGCGGGGTCGGAGTCGGAAGTAGCGCTTTGGGCCAGGTCTTCCAATAGGAGAGGCCGTTCGGAGGCGGCTGGAGTCCGAAGCTAGCGCTCCGGTCGGAGAGGTGGGCCGAAGTAGTTGACGAGCGGGTGTCGTTCCTCTTCGGCCAGACCTTCCGGTTAGTGACTGGACCGTCCTTCCGGCCTGTTGTTTTATACTCTCGGGGCGGCCCACGAGTTGTGTGCTGCCTTCTTGGGCCGAGCCTGGGCCTGGAAGCCGGTCCTCGAGGGACCCCGGGTTTATGAACCCGACAAAAGGATTTACAAAAACAATGGAATAGGAAAAATATAGGAATGAAATGTCCTAACACTTCAAATCCTATAGGATTTTAGAGATCGTACCTTTGGAAGCAACATGGGAAAAGCACGGGAAACAAAATAATGAGGTTTGAACTACATGTTTAGGCCTCCTTTGGACTTGAGGATTGGCATAGGATTTTTTTAGGATTCAAGTTTCTAAGGATTTTTTCCTATACATCTCTTTGTTTCATAGGAAAAGGCCAGGAAGAATTCCATAGGGTTGAATTCCTATGTTTCAATTTCATAGGAAAATAAACAAGAGCTTAGAACTCTTGGAAAGTTTTCTAGCAGGAAGACCTCATTCATGTATATTCGTGTTGCTTTTTACATATTTGGTGAGAAACCAAGTGCCTTCACGCTTCTTCCAGGGAGGAGGACTTGGGCCCCAGCCACAACCAAAATGGTAGCAGATGGTGAGGGGCTACCAAAGGCCTCCTCATGTACTTTACTATGGTTCCAATTCATGTGGGATTAGAGAAACAAGACACCTCAATTCATACATTTTTCCTATCCTATGTTCTGAAGGAGGCCTTAGTTTCCTCCAAAATTCCTTCACAATGGTCCAATCCATAGGAATTTCAAAGGAATTGTTGGGAAACATTCCTTGTTCCAAAGGGCCTCGTAGGAATTTTTACTATAGGATTTAAATCCTTCAAAATTCCTATATTTTCCTCCATTCCAAAGGGAGCCTTAAGGGGGGTGTTTGGTAGGGCTCTTCTGAGGAGTTAGAGCTATTTTGGAGGAACCATAATTTGTAGCTCATCCAAAATGGTCCCGGCTCCTCTGTTTTTCACTAAAAATGGCTCCTCCTACAAAGTATTTGGTAGGACTCCTGCGGAGGAGGTAGAGCCAGAGCCAGAAAGAACCCTACCAAATAGGCCCTAAATGTCTACCTATTCAACAAAATGGCTTCTTTGTTGTTTTCTTGAAATCTTTGTGATTTCTTCTCTAGTCTTCGTGCCCTTTATCTCTTCGCATAGGATCCAGTAGACCCTATCTATGACATCTTAGCACACATTATTTTTTTTGGAAAAATCTTAGCACACATTATAGTCTAGTGATTGAGTTGTCATCACTATAACAAGAAGGCAGTCTTCTCCTCATGTGGGAACGGGTGAAGCTAGTTTTTTTCATTGACTCATATGAGTTGTTGCTACATCAGCACCATATTGGAGTGGCCGGAGCTCTTTGGAGCCCCTCCAAAGAGGTCATGAGATCCTATTTGGCAGTTTTTTTTCTACAAATGGCTTCACCTATAAGAAGTCGTAAAAGCCACCTTTAGGTGGCTTCATCCTTCTAGTAAGAAAATAGTTCCTTAAGAAAATCAACACCTGAACCCTAAACCCTACACACTCATACCTATTGATCTACCACTAAAAATAGCACAATTAAATTGGTTTGAAAAAATATTGTCTGAGAATGTGTCACATTGGGAGCACTTCGATAATGCGGTTTTCAAAAACTATAGAATCAAAGAACTGTAGTTTGAGCCGTTTTATGAGCTAGTGTTTGGGAGCACTTCATCAAAGAAGCCAGAACTAAAGCCTCTCAATAAGCCCTGCCACTAAGAGGGCTTAAGTGTCATTTATACACAAGGTTAGGTTCCTTACTCTGGAACTTGCCCCGTTTTGATGCAAAGTATTTTTTAAGTATTGAAAAAATACTATGGTTTTACAAAAAATACTTTGATTTTTAGAAGCTACTGGGTGTTTGGATGCAACAAATCTTGTAGTCTTTAAAACCATGGTTTTGTCAAACCTGTAGTTTTTTTTTGAGTTTTAGAAACTCCACTCATAATCTCTTTTTTCTAAACCACATTTTTTTTGCCTTTTTAGCTTATAAAACTACAGTTCTTTGATTCTATAGTTTTTGAAAACCGCATTATCGAGCAGACCCTTAATCTAACCCCATCACTTTTGCTTATGTGACCACATTCTCATAGACGATATTCTAAAATTTAATGACAATATTTTTTCCATTGGTAAACCATGGATTTAATTGTGCTATTTTTAGTGGTAGACAACATGTTCATCAATAGGTATGAGTGTAGGGTTTAGGGTTCAGGGTGTATTTGGGCACCAGCATTATACCGTGTTTAAAAAAATTAAGTATCAATTATAGGTGTAAAATTGATACCATTGCACGGAATCCATTAAGGAAACACATGATATTGTTTATACTGATTGGACACAATCACCTGAATATCTTGCCTTGCCATTTCAGGTAAGAAAAATTGCCAATGCATTTCCTAAATTTTTGGGAACGAAATGTGAACCCTGAGGAATCGGAGGTCCCAACAGCAAAAAGCAGAGACCACTGCCGTAACCGAAGGCTCTCTACCGTTATAAATCGGCTTAGCCGGTACTATATTTTTCTCTTTTATCTTTTCTCTTCAAACAAATCAGCGCGAGAGACTTAGGTCTCGTTTAGCAGGGCTTCTTCAGCGGTTTTAGGAGTCGTTTGAAGCCATTTTATATTAAATGGGATAAAATAAAACAGCTTCACCGATGAAGCTCCTAAAAACGTGCTCTCACATAGTTTTAGAGTGGGTAAGAGTAAAAAATAGTGGTTTCTTCCGGCTCCTCTTCAGACCCCTAAAAACATGCTCTCACAGAAAATCATTTTACCAAATGATTTACTAAAACCGCTTCAACTCCATTGATAAAGCTGTTCATGGAGCTGAAGCCAAAATAAATAGCTCTGCCAAACGGGGCCTTAAAAGACCAGCCAGTCTTAAAACCGCTCCATCAGAGCGAGGACGGAGGGGCGCGCAGCGGAGCAAAAGGGTTTGGCGGCTTCGCCAAGAACCACGGATTCAGGTAACGGACTGTCCCTCCCCTTTCTCTGTGGTTACTAATCATGCTCTTCTTTGGTTTATTGCCCCCGTTTTCCATTACTTTTGGTGATTTTTACCTGTTTCCACGAGAGGTAGCGTTCTTGCGCAAGATTTATGTTTCTTTTTCCTTCTGTTTCTCGATTTCCAGATGCGACATATTTCGTATCCCCCGTTTTTTTTTCTTTGGTTAATCAGAACTACAGTTCTGTTATTTTAACTAGAAGTAATTCATCGTCAGGAGGTGGTCTAAAAACTTTTACTTGTTTGTGCCACTATGAAAACAGAGTAATTTGGGACTCTTGTTTATCTGGGAGAACACTGAACCCTGCATAGAAATTCGAGATGGCTGTGATTTTATTGTTTCTAGTCATAGTTGTATGCATCATTGTGTATGTGGACGAAGAAATCTGAACAGCGGTAATAATATCAATATTTATGTTTTAAACGAAAAATAATAATTCTTTGCATATCGCTATCAGTCTATCACACCTTCTCCACTCTGACCATTTCTGAACCTATGCAAGACTATCATAATGTGAATGTGAATGGACTTGTTCACTTATGAAGGCGTGTGACGGTTCCCTTGACTAGAGGCTAGAGCGTCAGGTTGATTTTAGTGGTCCATTGCTGGAATTCTTTATCCAGTACTTATCTGACTACATAGTAATATATTTTCTTTTTGGCCTTGTTGGGACACCTGAACCTGCTAGTGATATATGAAAACAACATTCACACATTACGGACTTTTCATAGACGGGAGTAGGTCGCTTTTGTTTTTAAAAGCCCATATGTAGCTGAAGTGCTTAGCAAAAGCAGTGTGGCTATATGAAATGGAGCAGATATAAAACCCTGGTCAATGAAGAAAAGTGCCTGTTTGAATAACAAATAATGTTTTTAGGCTTTCTTTGGGATACTTTTCAGAATATATTCGAGTAAGAAGAAATGAACTTATCATGCGTGATGCAAAGTCTAGATTGTTCTATTGAACCACTTAATAATCATGGAGTGTATTAGTTTGATCCTGTCAACAACATTAGCTGATATTAATTGCTTGTGTAACATCAATACCACAGTGGTGATGCATGCTTCAGTCAAATATTTAAAGTGTTATTCTGCTTATTTTGTTTCTAGTTTGTCTGCAATACTTGTTTTAATTACAGCTGCTATTGTTTCCTTGTAAAACTCAACAATTTGTTAGTGTGCCGTTTTTCCACTAACAGTTCTTGTTTGTATAATATTAGGTCGAATGGATCTGTTAGGTTGATGTAAAATACAAAGGACAGCATGGGGACCCATGATTTTGATGGTTCTGAACTTGACAACAAGACAACTTCACTTCATGATCAGTTCTCGACACAGTTATCATTATCTAGTTCCAATGACGGCGAGGAGATTGCAACTTCTTCATGTCCTGACAAGCAGTTTCATTTGGCCATCCATAATCTGTCCCTAAAAAGTTGTAAACAGGATAAAACCGAGGAGGATGCAGTTAAATGGAGGCTTGAAGAGAAAGGTTTCCCCTTTGTTTTTTCAGACTCGGAATGGGGTGATTCTTCATATGAAAATTCTCTCAGCGAACAGTCATCTACAATCAGTACCCCCAGTACGCCATTCACTGTACAGTCGGATGCTCAGTCTGAGGATCTTGACAGAACAGATATCTGGGTTTCTTCTTTAGATCTTGAAGCTGAGGATTCTGCCTTGCTGCCAGACAAGGAACAGCTTCCAGATGTACTCGGTTTTGATTTCCCCAGCCCTTCTTTCAGTGCAATCAGAAGCCTCCAGTTTGGTCCTTCCAGTTACAGTACAGGAATATTGCAGAGCAAAGAAGCCAACGACTCTGATGGGCCAATATTCTGGCCATTTGAGCGCACTTCCTACAACAGTCCTGAATTTGACAAATTTCTGAGTGTGTCGCCTCGTAGAAACACAATGGATCTCGGGTATGCTGAAGTTCGTCACTTGAATCCAGTGTTGCAGAGGCTCCGTAAGAGCACACTATCTTCAGTGAAGAAGTGCATTGAACTGCGTCAAGGGATTAGCAATTCAGGCGCAAAAGGAAGCATGGCCTCCTCCGAAGAGAAGATTCAGAAGACGCCTGCAGTTCCCTCCAGGTTAAGCAGGATAACAAAAGCATCTGCACCCTCTAGTTCCAGCCATCATCAGATGCCGAGCATGTGTCAGAAAAGAAGGCCGCCTCACTTGAAACTTGGTGATCCAAGAAAGATTAGCTCTCCACAGTTGCAGGCAGATCAGTCTGCTAAAAAGATTGAAGCATCATCAGACGTCCAGAAACTAGCGGATAAGAAGAGTTGGATTGAAGAGTTGATTGGATTGGATGAGTTTGATGGCCATGAAGGCATGGGCTCGGATTCCTCAGACTACCAATTTAGTCTGTGGATATCTCCAAGATAGTTGTCCTGTGCAATCATCCTTCTGTAAGCAAAGCAAGCTACCATGAGCGATCCGTGTAGGTTCTTCCATATATAGGTCTGTAGCAATCAGCAGCCAATACATTGCGGATTTAAGTATCCGTGTATTGGCATTGCTCTGAGGTCAAAGGCAGGGTTTTTGTAAACGAGATGGTGTGTTTTGTAATCGTCAATATAGGACCTGTTGTCTGATGTCAGTTTCAGGTCTTTTTTTTTGGCAGTGGTAATCTAGATCTGACATCAGATTCTGGTACCCTTGGAGCATGATGTAATGGCGTAATAATAATGGCATCTGCAACTGCAAAGTTGAAGCTTCCCATTCAAGTATCTGCAAAAAGATGTACAATTTCCACTTGTATTCTTAGAATTTGTCGCCTACCGCGTTGCTTGGCCATCCGGCCAGAACTATTCAGAGGGTTTTTTTGGTTCACCTTCAGTGTAATCGACTCAGATGGCAAGTTGGCAACAAATCCTAGAAAGCTGGCGGCGCTGCCGTAGTATGGTCTTGTTTAAATTGCAAGTTTTTTCACTCTCTCTTCATCACATCAAATCTTTAACACATGTATGGAATATTAAATGTAGATAAAAAAATAATTAATTACACAGTTTGATTGTAAATTACGAGACTAATCTTTTGGATAGTTAGGTCATAATTGGACAATAATTGTCAAATACAAACGAAAGTCCTATAATGCCAAATACTGATTCCTAACCCCAATCTAAACGAGGGCGAGTGTATAGTACACTACAAAATCCTTTGGCGGCTGCGCTGATTTGCAGAAACTGATGGCCTGCGAGGCGTCAAGAAAAACTCCATCGCAGCACTTGGCCTGTGTCGATGTTAAGATCCTTTTCGTGTTGTCTGCCGACCACACCCATATTATATGGTTTCTTATGTTCCTACGTGGCTCTATGGATTGATTGATGCTTACTAGAGTTTAGCATGGGGAAAGTATCGTGTTCCGTTTCTCTTCTCGATGACACAGTGGGTACTAGTTAAATTGGCATGTGACAACTTTGTTCTCGATGACATCAGAGGGTGTCAACAGAGTCCCACACTCTACGATTCTGTATCATGTTCTCGACAATTTGTGTATTCTGAATTTTAAAAAGTAAGGAAAATTTGAAATGAATGTGTTCCATTTCTTTGGCGTCCTCAAGTCAGTTTTGTCAACGCTACTCTTTGTCCTTTCAACACTTGCATTGCATACACTGAAAACCTACTGCTGATTCTGTTCTCACATTGGGCAAAAAAATCTGTTACCCCCCTCAAAAAAATATCTGCCACGTGAAGAAAATTGCATGCCTGCCAATAATTTCCCATCCTCAGAAAATAAATAAAGAAGAAAAATAGGAAACAGACAAAAGGCAGAACCAGGAGGCTATCCGAAAGGAGGAGAAACAGAGAACAATCACTAGTCCTCTTTCTTGTTGGGCACTCGGGCAGCGCGGCCCCCTTATCTCCAGGGAGGCAGGGACCAGGGGAGGACGCACACCAACGCACCTCCCTTCTCTTCCCTCCTCTTCCTCTCTCCTCGGAAGGTGAGCACCCCCAGCGATCCTCTCTTTGTCCTCTGTGTGTGAGTTCTTCGTTCTTGGGTGGGATTCTTGCCTGCTACGGGCTCCTGATTCTCATGTCGAGATTTCCATTCCTGGATACATGGATGGATGGATTAGTAATCGTGTGTTGTCGGTGGGCTCTGATTCTTATACGCGGAATCCCTTGATAATTTTGGGGGGAAATTCTTGATTTTTTTTTGTTCAGTTTTGGTTGTGGATAAGCGGCAAGGTTCATCTTTCTCCGTCTTTTGATATAATCGATGTCAATACGAGGTTGAAACACTAATTCAATCGGTAAACGGAGTGGTTGTGATTTTCTCTGTCGCCGGAAATGAAACATCTTTTTGTGAGCCCGCAATCCCAAATCTTTGCGCGTTGTATCGGTGCCCGTGCCCTTATCCATCCAGATTGCCGCGGATTGATTTGCTAGGAACCGGTGAACATCTACCGCTGTTTTTAAGCCTGTCTTCCTGTTTCTAGCACATTTAATTTTTCCATTTTTGTTTGGCACGGTTTGTTCTCCATTTCCTAGCACATTTTGTTTTTGCAATTTTTTGGGGGTCAGATGGATCAAGAGCAGCATACTGATGATTGGCATGCACTATTCCTGCGCATGATTAGAATTGACCCTTTGTGTTTATCTGAGAACTTTAGAAGATTGGTTTGTAATATTTGATTAACCGTTGTAATGTCTTGGTGCAGGATAAGGGACGGTATTTCTGACCATGGCAGGGACCTTACTCCAGTCAGTTGCCCTCGGAACAACATTCGGGGGTCGCATAAGCACCCAGCGTTGGAGGTCCCATGGCACCAGGAGGCCTTCCTCTATGTTGGCAATGTCACTTAGCCGCCCTGTCAAGATGTCAGCATTTGTGGGTCTAAGATCAGTGCATAGCTTCTCGGTCACACCGACGGTGTCCAATTCCAGGTCGACCGTTGCATCTTACAGGTCGTCTCGACGGACAAGACGTTCTCGTTTTGTTACTCGGGCAATGTTTGAGAGGTTCACCGAGAAAGCTATTAAGGTCATCATGCTTGCGCAAGAGGAAGCAAGGCGCCTGGGGCACAACTTTGTTGGAACTGAGCAGATTCTCTTGGGTCTGATTGGAGAGGGCACTGGTATTGCAGCTAAGGTGCTCAAGTCCATGGGAATAAATCTCAAGGATGCACGTGTGGAGGTGGAAAAGATTATTGGCCGCGGCAATGGTTTTGTTGCTGTTGAAATACCATTCACACCACGCGCGAAACGTGTTTTGGAGCTCTCCTTGGAGGAAGCTCGCCAATTAGGTATGTTGTTTATCAAGGCTTCTTGTGAAATGCTGTCCTTGTCGCGTTGTCTTAATTTTCATTTCCTATTCTCTCCTATTCATGCACGAAAACATAGTAGAAGGAATTGCTGGTCAAGGTCCTTGTGATACCCTTTTGGTCTTATCTTCTAATTTTACTCATTCGCTACAAAAATCTATTAGAAGAATGTCTCTATTCACCAGTGTTCTGTTCTCCTAGAAAGGAATTTCATTTTCCTATTACTTGATTACTTCCACGCTTGTGCTTTTTTCTAGAGAGTTCTAGAAAGCTTCCAGTTAGCATATTTTTCGATGAAACTTTTTGCCTAAAATACATTGTACAAATTGTTGATTATCAGATACAAATATAACAATTGCATTTTGACAGAGCTTCCGTTGCACATTCCCATAAGTATTGAAAACATCATTCTTAACTGATGTCAGAGGGACCCTGACTTGATAATGGACAGTTGATTGCAATATTTGTATGTAGTTAATCTTCCAGGTGGTGCAGAATGTTGGCCTACGAAAAGACGACATGTTCAACAGATAAGTGTCGCGGAAATGCGTATGTTGCGTTGGATTTGCGGTCATACAAGAAGGGATCGAGTTCGGAACGATGATATACGTGATAGATTAGGGGTAGCACCAATTGATGAAAAGCTTGTCCAACACCGGTTGAGATGGTTTGGACATGTCCAATGGAGACCTCTAGAGGCACCGGTGTGTAGTGGAATCCTAAGCCAGGATAGTAACGTGAAGAGAGGCAGAGGAAGACCGAAGTTGACTTGGGTAGAGGCAATAAAAGGAGACTTTGAAAGGATGGATACCCAAAGACTTAGCCTTAGATAGGAGTGTTTGGAAAACAGCTATTCACGTGCCTGAACCTTGATTGCTTCTGCTGGGTTTCAACTCTAGCCTACCCCAACTTGTTTGGGACTTAAAGGCTTTGTTGTTGTTGTTGTTGTTGTTGTTGTTGTAGTTAATCTTCCAGGTCTGTCTGTTTTATGTCACCTTTTTAAGTATTCAAGTGGAAGCTGCAAAGTACAATGAAGCATCATAATCTCATTGCAATCCACTTACTGTGGTGCTATTTTATATCTTCATCTCGAACATATTTTATATCTTCATCAAAGAAACTTTTGTAGTAACACAAGCTGAAAAATAACAATGACCCCAGTGACAGGTGGCTTGGATCCCCATTTATCAGCATATTTCCAAACTTCTACATATTTGCATCATTAAACTATTTTCCCATTCAATAATTTAGGTCTTAGGATGCAATTGAACTCATAGATGCATTTCTTTCTTCATTGTCCTGCTTTGTGCACCTATAAAGAAATTTTCTGCTGTGCACCTCTATATGTAAAGTAATCCCACCCTGCTTTCTCATCTAATATGGTAACAGACGAACACCCTTGGCCTTTATCTTGTTCCTCAACTAAATTACATGTACTTCCTATGTTGGTAATTGTCAAGACATTTATCTTAACAAGAATATCATTTCCTTCTATGTATCGAACCACAGCACACTCCATTTCCTCATTATATTTCGAATTTTTAATAAGTTCCATAGAAGATTTATCTCAAGCACTAAATACTTGCTTCCCAGGACATAATTATATTGGATCTGAGCACCTGCTTCTTGGACTGCTTCGTGAGGGTGAAGGTGTGGCGGCTCGTGTGCTTGAGAGTCTCGGAGCTGACCCCAGCAATATCCGTACACAGGTAAACCTATATCTGATGTCTATTTCTGACAGTAGGGAGTTCTCTGTACAAAAAGAATTTTTGTTTATTAGCTGTTTCCTCAATGCCATGGACCTCTATAGGTTATTCGAATGATTGGTGAGACCACAGAAGCTGTTGGTGCTGGAGTTGGAGGGGGCAGCAGTGGTAATAAGATGCCAACTCTTGAGGAGTATGGAACTAATTTAACAAAATTAGCAGAGGAGGTAATATTTCTGACCTACTGCATTATAACCAGCACAATTTCTGTGATAGAACTCATGTTGATCACATCTGCAGGGAAAATTAGATCCTGTTGTTGGAAGGCAGCCACAGATTGAGCGTGTGGTACAAATTTTAGGTAGACGAACGAAGAACAATCCCTGCTTGATTGGAGAGCCTGGTGTTGGAAAGACTGCAATTGCTGAAGGGCTTGCTCAACGCATTTCTACAGGCGATGTACCTGAAACAATAGAAGGGAAAAAGGTACCCTTTTTTATCATTTCAAAGCAATTATGCAATATGTATCTATCTATTTGTAGTATTTTTCTGTCAATTAATTCTACATCGATTGTGAACATATGAGTTTGAATATTTTTTTGTTCTTGTGTACTGTTGTTTAATCGTGTATGGTATATTTATGCAGCTTTACATGAGGGTGCATCCGTGCATGCATGTGTTGCTCTTTTCTCTCATTTTACTTGAGTCATCCCATCCAGTGGACATTTAAGTATGTGTAAGCACAGTTTAGTGATTGAAGAACCTGCTCCATAACCATTGGAGAGATTGTAGAAATAATCATCTATACTAACCAGCACACTGATTGAGCAAATAGAAGAAGAAGAAGAAAGTATGTTGTAAATATTTGTACTCTTTTGTGATACATTAAATCAGAATTTCTAAGTGATTAATCTCAGCTCACTGGTTGATTCTGTGGTCTAGTAGTTGTTTCAACTGGTTGTAAATATACTTTTCTGCCACATTTCTGTATTCTTTTGATGAGATTGTGAGGAAATGATGGATATTCGTTCAACCAATTTACCACAGGTCATTACCCTTGACATGGGACTTCTTGTTGCTGGCACAAAATACCGTGGAGAATTCGAAGAAAGATTAAAGAAGCTGATGGAGGAAATAAAGCAGAGTGATGAGATAATACTCTTTATTGATGAAGTTCACACTCTGATAGGAGCAGGAGCAGCCGAAGGTGCTATAGATGCTGCTAATATCTTGAAGCCTGCGTTGGCCAGAGGTGAATTACAGGTGTGTAGATAACATGTTCCTATGCTGTGGTGAATATTCTCTTATCTGTTCTTTTGGAATAAGTCCAGTATCTTGTTGTCCTTCAAGATGAGCTTTCCAGCGCTCTTGCTTGTGATGAGGTTGTTATTACTGACCTATTATGTTTAATTGCAGTGCATTGGAGCGACTACACTTGATGAATATAGGAAGCACATTGAGAAAGACCCAGCACTTGAACGGCGGTTTCAACCTGTGAAAGTGCCAGAGCCAACAGTAGATGAAACCATTGAAATTCTCAGAGGACTGAGGGAACGATATGAGATCCACCATAAACTTCGTTACACTGATGAAGCTCTGATTGCAGCTGCAAAACTGTCATATCAATATATCAGGTCTGTGAACTGTAAATAAAAATATATCACATGCATCAGCGGAAATGTAAAAACACCACAATGAAAATTAGTTGGAACTTTAGCTTGCATCTCTGAAAAAACAACTATGTTTGTCTGACTACATCCATCCACAATTTATTTTTGCTACTTTATTGCATCCGAATGATCATCTGACAACATATTTCTGTTTGCAGTGATCGTTTCCTCCCAGATAAGGCAATTGACTTGATTGATGAAGCAGGTTCCCGTGTTAGGCTACAGCATGCACAGGTACCGAGTCATCTGTTTTCATTTATTTGTATGCTTAATTCTTGCATGCCCTAAACAGTATCTAAATTTTACTTTTGGTGCAGGTTCCTGAGGAAGCAAGAGAGCTTGACAAGGAGCTCAAACAAATCACGAAACAGAAGAATGAAGCTGTTCGTAGCCAGGATTTCGAGAAGGTAATTGACTATGGATGATCTGTTACATTTACATCTCTTTCAAGTTTGTGACACAACTTAAATGTTGCCTGACCTCCTAAAGATCATATTAAATTATAATTTCGATCCACCATAACTGTTCTATATGCAGTAGCTTGTACATAGAACATATTCAATACAGTTGGAGGATTACAAATAATTTTGGATGATTCAGTAATTCTTGTTCATTTCATCAATGAATGCTCTTACTTGAGTGAAGTTCCCCATTTCCATTAGGATGTACTAACACAGAGTTAAAAAAACAGTTGTTACATGCTTTTGGTTTTAAATGGTTTTCAGTGATAGTTTTATTTGAATGATAATAACATGCCCCTGACTATGCACTTTCTTTCTTCCTGTTCTTTTGTTTATTTAGCAATTTGCACCTGCTCCAATTGGATATGTGGATGCCCTTGTTCTGCCTTCTCCCTGTACTTTTGATTACTTAATTTTTCCACCTTTTCTAAGATACATATGTTCTTTCATAGCTAATTTCCCTTTTTAAATGTTATGCCATTAGGCTGGGGAATTGCGAGACCGTGAAATGGAATTGAAGGCCCAGATAACAGCCTTCATTGACAAGAGCAAGGAATTGAGCAAAGCAGAGGAAGAGTCTGGAGAGACAGGACCTATGGTCAATGAAGCAGATATCCAGCACATAGTATCGTCATGGACTGGCATCCCTGTGGAGAAGGTTTCCAGCGATGAATCGGATAAGCTTCTTAAGATGGAAGAGACTTTGCACAAGCGTGTCATTGGCCAAGATGAGGCTGTGGTAGCCATTAGTCGCTCCATCCGCCGTGCTCGTGTGGGTCTCAAGAACCCCAACAGGCCAATTGCAAGCTTTATTTTTGCAGGTCCCACCGGTGTTGGGAAGTCAGAGCTTGCAAAGACTCTTGCAGCCTATTACTTTGGCTCTGAGGAGGCTATGATCCGGCTTGATATGAGTGAATTCATGGAGAGGCACACAGTATCCAAGCTGATTGGTTCACCTCCAGGATATGTAGGATACACTGAGGGTGGGCAGCTGACAGAGGCAGTTCGACGGCGGCCATACACAGTTGTGCTCTTTGATGAGATTGAGAAAGCACACCCGGATGTCTTCAACATGATGCTTCAGATTTTGGAAGATGGGAGATTGACTGACAGCAAGGGAAGGACTGTGGACTTCAAGAACACACTCCTGATCATGACCTCAAATGTAGGGAGCAGCGTCATCGAGAAGGGTGGGCGGAAGATCGGATTTGACCTTGACTCTGATGAGAAGGACAGCAGCTACAGCAGGATCAAGAGCCTGGTCATCGAGGAGATGAAGCAGTACTTCCGACCTGAGTTCCTCAACCGTCTTGATGAGATGATCGTGTTCAGGCAGCTGACCAAGCTCGAGGTCAAGGAGATCGCGGATATCATGCTCCAGGAGGTCTTTGACAGGCTGAAGGCCAAGGACATCAATCTGCAAGTGACTGAGAAGTTCAAGGAGCGGGTGGTGGACGAAGGCTACAACCCCAGCTACGGTGCACGCCCGCTGAGGCGAGCCATCATGAGGCTGCTGGAGGACAGCCTTGCTGAGAAGTTGCTCGCTGGGGAGGTAAAGGAGGGCGACTCTGCCATAGTGGATGTTGACTCGGAGGGGAAGGTCGTTGTGCTCAATGGCCAAGGCGGCATACCGGAGCTCTCAGCTCCGGCGATCACCGTTTAGCTCGTACATAACAGATGATGACAAAATAGCAGAGTTTTTGTTTCAAACACATTATCATATATAGTTAGCATATAACTGTGTATATGTAGTGGTATAGTCAAAGGGGAAATCGTTGCTGCCTTTGAATTCCTTTTCAAATTCAAGTATTCTTTTGTCTCAAGTTAATCTGCCTGGTTTATTAAGGTATTGTGTACACAGTGATGTGAAAAGCTCTTGTCTTTGTACAGGCATACAGATACAGACAGGTCAAGTAGCACGTAGGCATGATTCCAATACCGTCTCTCGTCTCGCAGCCAGCCCAGCCAGGTGCTGAGGTACCTGTGGGTGTGTTTGGTTTCCTAGCTTAGATGGAGCCTAGCTAGAATTGGAGCCAGGTTGGGTTTAGCCTGGTTCCATCAAGCCATGCCAACATGGGTTTGTTTGGTTGGACTGCTTTTGTTGGCATGGTTTAGCTCAGATTTTGTTTGGTTGGGTGCATGAGCTCCTGGCTGTAATAGTGTAGTCAAGGGTGGGTGTGTTTGGTTTGGTGTACACACCTCAGCTCATTCACCCCTAACTTCAATCGGTGTGCTTACCCCGTCACCCATTACTCCATCCATAAATACGAACCGGCCACCCACGAGCTCGCTTACCACCATTCGTTCACCGCCCCTTGACCCCTCGTCTCCCTCTCGCTGTCCCCTCGCCTCCTAGCCCTCCCTTGAAGCCATCGTCGGCGAGCCATCCCACCTGTGGCAATGAGCAACAACGCTGCCGTCGCGGGCTCCTTGGAGGTGCGCCGTGCTGTGGGCCGTTGCACTGGTGGCTCCGGCTGCACCTGTGCCTCCCAATCGGCGTCTCCGCTCCGTTCGCCGGCCGCCGGGTCTTCGTCCAGGAGCCGCTCGGCGAGGAGTGAGGACGGGGAGTCCGTCGACTCGTCGGAGAACCGCGACAGCGACGACAACGCGACATCCGAGGTATACGTTCGTTCCCGTCCTGCTCCCCTCCCCCTACGGTTTTAGTTGGAATGCCAAAAACCCATTTTTGGCTTTGAAGGTCGCAAGGATAGGTGGCGATTTGTGTTCAATTGTTTACAGAAACCCTAGGATAGTTGCCGATTTGTGTTGGATTCTTGAGGAAAACCCTAGGTGTGATCAATAGATGCGCATTAGTGCTGGTTTTTTGACTGATTTGGGGTGTTCCCCCTGTTCTTCGTAGGACCAGAGCGACTCCATCATCCGTGATGCTGTCCACGAGACCGATTGGTCCGGCATGCATGTTGTGAGGATTCGCTAGTGTGAACATGGTCGCCATGCCATTATGAAGAAAGCTTGGGGTGGGAAGCACACAGGCAGGTGCTTCTTGGGTTGCCCAATGCAGGTTAGTGCTTCAATCGATCATTGATTGATCTGTCAAATCTTGTCATTTACATCTAATTGCTCATTGAATGAAACACTTATCACATTTGGAATTACTTAGTTGTAGTAACCTTTGACTCACGCAGGATGAGGCTGATCAGTGCCAGTTCATCGAGTGGTTGGATGAACCTTGGCCAGAACGGGTTCAGGCCTGCTTGAAGGAACCGTGGAAGGAGCTCAAGGTCACAAGGCGTTGTGAGGCCACCGCAAATGAAGCTCTGATTGATGCTATCCGCTGCAATGACATCGCAACAAATGCAAGGGTCGAGCTGCAGGAGGAGGTGAACCGCACCAAACGAGTTGTTGAGTGCGTCTGCTTCACATACCATAGGAAGGCTGCCCTCGCTGCTGTGGACAAGAGAAAGATGATGTACCTGGTCTACTGCCTGCTTGGAGTGATCGTGTTCCTGGTGGTGGCCATCTTGTTCAAGACCAACTGATGCCTAGGACCTGCAGATGGTAATGGCCAGCCTGGTAATGGTGGCCTTTTGTTTTGATGCTGCGCCAAGTGTTTCGTAGTTTCAGTAGTGGTGTTAGCAGTTGACATGGGTCGTGGATGCAGAAGAACTTGGTATGTGGTGACTTGTCAGGCTGGGAACCTGATCTTTTGATCGTAAAGCGTACTATGACTTAATCTGTTAGCTTGATGGTGGTGAAAGCTAGCAGTGGTGCTTAGGCTAGAACTTGGTTTGTGGTAATCTGTCAGGCTGCGATCCTGATCTTTTGATTGTGCCCATGTCAGAATGTGAAAACTAAATGGTGCACTTATCTTGTATAGCGTACTGTCACTGAAAATGTTAGGATGGGTTGAACTTGGATGCTTGCTAATGCAAGCTAGTCATGTTGAACTGAAATGCTTAGTAATGTTCACATCTGTTTGGTTCACATTGCATTATGTTCTAATCAACCCAAATAGAGTGCATATTCTTCACTTATTACATCACAGTACAACTTGACATCTCAGGCATGGTACAGGAGGTAAGCCTGGATCACTACCACTACAAAGAGGAGTACAAGGACAAAATCCTTAGTAGTCATGTCTACCAGTTTCTTGTTCTGAATTTTGGCAAAGTTTTCTTTACCACTACAAAGAGGAGTACAAGGACAAAATCCTTAGTAGTCATGTCTACCAGTTTCTTGTTCTGAATTTTGGCAAAGTTTTCTTCACCCAGGTGCTTCGGTTCAGGAGTTTTGTTTCTCTGCGATGACTGGTATTGTGCTAATGCCTGCTCACCCTCCTGTCTTGATGGGAAACTTTGATGCAGGTTGTTAGGATAACCAGACACTTGTGCTTGGCAGTCCATCTAAGTTGTGTACACTCCAAGTGTGCGCCCCACGAAAATGACATACATCTTCACTTCATGATCACAACTGCATCATACATCAAGTGGGACAATCAGTTTAATTACATCATGATATCATAGAAATCTCAGCTACAAGTCACAGAAATCAAATCACAGATACCAAAGTTCATGCATTTCATAGATCATCACATGGAAGGTAAAGCCACTGAGTTCATCAATGCATAATGCAGCAACCAATTGTGGTAAGGATCTAAATAGTTCACTCCTACCAGAATCTACCCTAACAACAGCGCCTTAGTTCAATGATTACATCACTGGTTACACAACAAAAAAGGGTTAAGCTGCCACATTTGAAGCATTGGAAGATGGCTTTTCTTCATCTCACATCTCTCAATCACTGGAAGGCCATCTATCCTTTGACTTTGGCCAGATGCTGCTTGATCAATAGGTCCTTGTCCGAAGGCGTCATCTGCACGAAGACTAATGCAGGGCCCTTGTGATCCATCAGATAGTTCAGGCACAGCATCAAGTCACTCCTTGCAAAGTCCGGGCACCCCATCACTGCTTCATAAATCCCTGGTGTTACCTCAGAGTGATTTCCCTCACTTATAGCTGCACTCATTCCCTAGACAGCATCTGTCATTCCAGTCACCAGGACTACATCCTCTTCACTCAAACCCCTTTTCCTCTTGCCGAGCTTCTTGTCATCTGGCTTCTCCTTGTGTGCTGGTCCATCCTCCTTGCTTGGAGCAGGTGCATCAGTGTCCAGGTCGATGGTATCTTGTTCAGATGGCTGGCCTAGAGCTTCATTGCTTCCCATTGCAAATCGCCCAGTTGCAACACCAGAACCGAAGATGGTCTGCATGAACTGGTAGTTGACAATAGGCATGTTGAGGAATTCAGCATCCTTGGCGTGATCCTGAACAAGTGGAAGCAAACAGTTAGGAATAATTGGTAACAGTTAGGAAGAATTGCAGTAATAGGTAACGGAAGGAACTTGAAAATAGTGATGATGGTACCTTAACATGGCCATGGTAATGCTCAGGATCCAGCGTTATCATGCAGAGGTCTTCATCCTAGTTTGCGCCACTCAGCTCCTTCAGCCTGCACACTTTAACCCATTTAGTACGACACTTGCGTAGGTGGTTGTACACCTGTGTGGCAGTCACTGGCTGCATGATGAAGGCCTGCAGATCCTTGGCAACAACATTCACATGGAAGTCCTTGAAACCCTTGTCAGTCCTCATGCCTTCAGCCACCAGATTAGAGAACTTCTCAAACACACGGGCAGACATCAGTGGGATCCAAATGAGACGAGGTGGTGCACCATTGCCTTGTTGTGCTGGGTTAACCTCTTGAACCTCCTGGACCTCCTCCCCATGGTTCATGTGAACCTCTTCCCCAAAAATGTGAAAACCATCCCCATTGTCCATTGCTAACACAAATTCAAATAGTACATGCAATTCAATAGTAAAGGATGCAGAAAAACTTCAGAATTTGTGAATGAACATTTAAAGATAGGTCTCCAACAACAAACATAGTACATATTACAGACCAAATACCAAAAGCTAAAGGTAGCAAACATAGTTCAGATTACAGACCAAATACCAAAAGCTAAAGGTAGCAAACATAGTTCAGATTACATAGGCATCATTGCCTTAGGGAATGGTCTAATTTTTCAACATAATTACAGCTACATGAGGCCTACAAGTCACACTACTAAATGAGCATCTATCAATTTGCCCCATTCCTAGTTTGCCACATCTGTTGGGCCCATACATCTCTCTTGGTAGACCATGCATTGTTGTCCATCACATGGTCATGGGGTGCAGCCTCATTTGTTGGATTGGCCTGCAAGTCTGCCTCTAGTGGCACAATTTCATCATTCCCATACCTAAGTATCCAGTTATGGAGCATACAACATGCTAAGACCAGCTTGACTTGGGTCTTGTATGGGTGAAAGGGCTTGTTGTCTAATATCCTAAACCTACTCTTTAGACACCCAAATGCCCTTTCAACTGTAACCCTCAGGGAAGAATGCCTCAGGTTGAAGAGCTCTTTTGGATTCTGTGGGCTTCTAACACCATACTCCCTAAGATGGTATCTTGTGCCTTTGTAGGGTGGAAGGAACCCAGGCCTAATAGCATACCCCGCATCTACAAGAAAGAACTTGCCTAGACACAAGGAAAGAGGAGAACAATTAGAACTGTGAGGGGCTAAAGGACCATGGCTGATAGGTAAATGCAGGAGCTTATACCTAGTGGCACCCTAAGACCATCAACTCTTTCCAAAGCATCAGCCAGGATGCGGGCATCATGAGCAGACCCTTCCCAACTGCTAAGACATAAGTGAATCTCAAATCAAAATCAACAGCTGCTAGGATATTTTGAGTGGTTGTGTGCTTCATGCCAATGAAAGCTGGTCTGTGCCTTTTAGGTACTCTAGCAAGCACATGAGTACCATCAATGGCACCCACACAATCCTAAAAAACACCATGAAAAGGCAATCCTACAGTGCAGTATGAATCAGGTGAAGTAATTATTCCCACCTTGAAGAAAGGATTCCACTTCCTGTTGTTCTGAATTTTCTGATGGACTGCAGAAGAGGGTGGCACTATCATCTTGTTCCTTAATTCACCTACTGCAAATAGGACTTCCTGGAAATACCTGCTGATAGTTTCCAGGGAACGCCTAAAGATGGGATTCATAACCCTGAACCTTTGATTGTGGCCTACTACTAGCAAAACCATTGCAACTTGTTCCTCAATGTTGCTGTTTATGCTATCCCTTAGCAAGCCTCTGTTGCAAAACAAGTCGCAAAGCTAGAAGAAAGGAGCTCTCCTCATCCTAAGAAGTTCCACACAACGACGATCATACCTGTGGTAGATGAACCTAAGGTTGTTGGCCCTTTCTTGGTCTCTGGCAGTCATTGGGCCATAAGTAATTCCTCTCCTAGAGGCCGACATGCGTCTGAATCTCACAAACATCCAAGCACTGATCACTACAACCAAGGCTGCACCCCTAATGATAAGCTGAGGATGCCTAGTTGAAGGTTCCATGAGGCTAAATAGGAAATGGGAGATCAATTAGTACAACAGTGCATCGGTATGAGGCAAAACCTAGCCAAATTGAAGGACCGGCTGTGACACCAAGTGGTGCGCCGCCCAGATCCGGAGCAATCATCGACCAAACCCTAGGGATAATGTACAAAATCGATGGATCCCAACGACATGAGTGTAAACCAGGATGTAGGGTAGAAAAAAATAGCACAACATTGCAGCAGTATGACTGTAAACCCTAAGAAAATCAAAGGAACGGCTGCGACACCTGGTGGTGCGCCTCCCAGATCCACAACAATCATCGACCAAACCCTAAAGCTTAGCTACGCAATTGAAAGAACAGGCCACACAGTGTTCGAATCAAAAAACAAGAAGACAAAAAGATGAACACACAAGCGAGAGGGGAATCAGGCCGCATACCAGGGACCTGTGTGGCTTACCAACAACGCCTACGGTGGTCACCGCCGACGCCAGGAGGAGGCGGAGGAAGACGGAGGGGGGGGCGGGACAGCGAGAGAGCGAGAGAGCGAGAGAGTGAGTGAGCGAGTGAGCGGCAGCGAAGGCCTATGAACAGTACACGAGAACCCTAACCAGGCGGTGAAGCTCAAGCTTATATATGATGGCCAGGCCAAGTCAACCGGGTCCACTACGAGGAGCGCGGGTGGAGCCAGCCCAAGCCAGGCTCCGTGCAAATGGCCAACTCTGCCGTTTGACCCGAACCAGGCCCCAAGCGTACGGCTGGCCAGCTCAAGCCAGGCCCCGGAGCCCTTACAGGCAACCAAATAGGCTAAAATTGGCCCTAGGGAGCCAAGGCCAGGGACTGGCCACCCAACCAAACACACCCTATGTGCTTGCCTGGAATTAGAACGCCTAAAGAAATATAGGCATCAACATTAGTTTTAAGTGAGCATCCGGAAAGGCGTCACCTAAAATACCATTGGCTGAAAATACCAAAATTCTATAATAACGAACAAAAACACACACTAAGACATACCATTTTCCAATTTTACAGGAGACTGCAATCCGTTTGCAAATGAGGTGAAGTTGTTCTTCCAAAAAATACTGATTCATTTGTATGTACATCTGGTAAAGGGCTCAAAATACTGTTCGCTTGGCTTATAAGCCGTACTTTTTCAGTCAACGAACAATATTTTTCTCTCACAACAAATCAGCCAACAGTACTTTCAGCCATGGCTTATCAGCCAAGCGAACAGGGCAATTACTCTTGGGCATTGGTTTTTCCACGCCTAGGTTATGCATGTGCATAGCTATCTCGCTCAGGGTTCCACCCAAATAGTCCCTAAATGCTTTAGACAAAGAGAAGATAAATAGTAGGGTTTAGGAAGGTGCATTTAGAAGAGGGGGATGGGGGCACTGAGGGGGCACCCCCACATCTAAGTGCTCCAAAGTACGGATTAGTGCTTTTCTCGCTTGCTCTCTCCATGTATTAATCTTTAATGACATATATATGGTTTCAGATTAGTCTTCATGTTATCTTCCGTCTCTCTGTTTGAAAGGATCGAAATGCCTAGGGGGGGGCGAATCATGCGTCTCCTGAAATTCACAAACTTTTGCAGCAGATTAAATCACGGGTATCGAAATTTCCGGTCTCAAGCGGAATTAGTGGACTTATCCAAAATTCCGGTGAGGACCGAATTTTTGAATCCCGGAGAGTAGTGAACTAACTAATTGTGAATTGAAATGCTCAAATATTAAATCGAGTTCACCACACAAGTAGAGTAGGAGTACTAAGTGAATCCACGCCTTTTGCTTGGTCCTCCACCTACACACAATATATATCTAGCCACAACAACAAATAATGCAATCACAAATCACAAAGCACATGGAGACACAATGATTTATCCCGAGGTTCGGTCACACCACAAAGTTGTGCCTACGTCCCCGTTGTTGAGGCGACCACAAAGGTCCTTAGAGTCTCTTTCAACTCCCCTCTTCCCAAGCGACCACAAAGATCAAGCCGGGATTTCCACTAGAATCAAAGGGTAATACAATCTTCCCGGGCGCCCTCACAAGTATGAATCATGGGCGTCACCAGGCAACACCTAGCTGGCTAGTGTGTCAAGAACCCAAGAGTAATAGAGCGAAAATCAAATCACCAGCGGGTGCCACAAGTGCTCGAGAGATGGATCTTACTCCCGGAGTTGAAATCCACGAAGAACTCACTCCTATCACACTCACAAAGATGGGGATCTAAGCAAGAGTGAGAGAGTGTGGGAGTTTTAGAGAGAGAGAGAGAGCAAGATTTTCTTCAGCAAGGGATGGAGCAAATTGAAATGAGCCAGAGAGAGAAGCAGGGAAAGGGGACGACCTGCTCAAATGCCCAGCCTCGGTCGATCTGACCGTTGGGAAGGTTGTCTCCTGCACTGGAATTTCTTGGCATAGCATTCTGGAATTTCCAGGGCGGGGTGTTCAAACAGGCCGTGGCAATAGGAAGACTTCCGCACTGGAATTTCTTGCTCGAGAGGGATAAAATTCCAGTTAATTTGCGGTTTTCAACAGAGAGGGGTGCTCTGAAAATTTAAGGAAGCTGAGCAAGAAATTTCAATGGAGTAGGCTTCTGAAAATTCTTGTTGAAGGAAAAGGAATTTTCGGCTGAGAAGAATTTCCAGGCTTGGACCAAAAATAAATCAAGGATGAATTTTTGGAAGGTGTCAAGAAAAATTATAATTGATCTTTTGAGCACTTAGGACACCTACAGGTAATATAAATTCGATCCCTCTTTATAGTACGGCATCTTATAACTCGAGAGAAGTTAAAATAAACTTGGAATTAAAACCAAACTTCTCTCAAGTTGAAGTGTGATGCATCTTTCTTTTAAGTAATAATTGAGGGGTCATATGTTTCATTTGCACTTTCGCATTAATGATTAACTGAAAAATTTCACGAAACATCATTACTTCTTTATATGCATTATCATTTATTCACCAAAACCCACAAATAGGATTTGATGCACTTACAAACTCCTTATTTTTGGTGATTGATGACAACACATATGAAGCTCACAAAAAGTATATAAATCAAAAGATTTTGAAACCATGTATATGACAAGCTCCCCCTAAATATGTGCATATATGTTTTGGATGAACAATTTGGCATAAAAGGCCACATATGCACAATTTTAGTGAAAGTGCTAGGAAACAAATCATATACATGCTTTCGTGGGTGTGCAAAGGTGTCACATAAATAACCGTGATGCATATGACATGAATATCACACAACAAATAAATGGAAGACATACACCATCACAAATGATATTAAATAAGCACACTAACATAAACATGTCCTTACAACCATTAAGTACCAACTAGCAATCACACATAGTTCGTCACAATAGTCTTACAAGCCCATAATATAAATAGAAGTCCAACGAGAGATAAAGATCATGATACAAGTCCAAGGTCCATACATAAATAACATATAGATAAATGAGGCAATCATATATTTTTCTCCCCCTTTGGTGTCAAGCACCAAAAAGAAAGATGTCGTCGAAGGACATGCCTCACTCGTCGTGGTCGATGTCGTCGTCTTCCAGAGACGCACCGGGCTGCTGTTCGCCGGAAGTAGAAGGATAGGAGGCGGGGTAGAGAGTGTCGAAAGCGGGGTTGAAGAAGTGACCTGCTAAACCATAGGTGGCCGAAGCCCATCCAGAGGACGAGCTGCCACCTACCCCCTGCTGAACATGGGACGAGGACTGTGGCTGCTCGAGGGAGTCAAACTGGGGCTGCAGGGGCTGCACAAAGGACTGCTGAAACAGCGGGTGAAACCATGCAGGCTGCTGAGGAGCTGGAGGTTGAGGACGAACTGGAGACAAAGTCACACCGGCCTGCTCTGCTATCGCCTTGCTCTGGACCTCGGCATGGTGAAGCTCCTCCTGTATGAACCTCTGGTGCTCTCTGTTGGCCTCATGAATGGCCATGCACATCCCAAACACTAAGCGGATACCCTGCAAGAGAAGACCTTGGTCTGCCTGAGGACAAGCTGCAGCTGCTGCACATGAGGAAGGCAAAGGCACAGACAAAGGCCGAGGCTAACTGGGCTTGCGGCCTCTCTTCTTTGCTGTCTCATTAATTTTGACAGGCCGGTAAGACTCATGGCTCACCTCCTTGATGAACTCCCTCTGAGTGACTCTCAATCATCTTCATGATATAGGGAGCATGAGTACAGGACTTCTTAGGATCACAAGATGTCAACTGAATCTGCCTATAAATGAAACCAAAGGCACTGAAATCCTCCTCATTACCCTCCTGAAAAGCTTTCAAGAAGGGACCCATAGAAGATAGAATCACTGAAGCACCACCAATCTTAGGGACCAAAGTTTGCCTGAGAAACAAATTAAAATAGCGATAAAGTTTTCTCATGTTGTTGGTGGTGTAGAAGTCATTGGCAGTAGCATCCTCATTGTAAGCAAAAGAGATATCAATGTCACGATGAGGGTTACAATTAAGCCGAGGTTTGTCTATGTCATCAAACTCAAATCCAAGAATTTGTCCAAAGCGAGCATAAGAGACATAATAGGGCTGACCTTGAATGGAGAAATGCATAATGCCATAACTGTCAGCTGTGGGCTTCTCATACCAAACAGTAGCATAAAACTGTGCTATCACCTCATTGTTCCACGGATACTGCATGGTCATGAGGTTCTTGAAATTATGCCTTTCCAACATTTCAAGAGCCCTGGTCATCTCTGGATCAACCATTTTGACACAGTGATCCCAATCAATGTACCTCTGCATAACCACTGGCTGACTCTTGGAAAGGATGACAGAATCCTAGTAATCCAGCTGAAAGACAGTCGTAAAGCGAGGATCACGAAAGTCAGCATCTCGGGAATTAGCTGGAGATTCAAACCTTTTGCCATAGACCTCTCCCTGATTGCTGAAATAGTCCTTAGGGTGAGGCGGATGAACGTCACGATCAAAACGCCTATCTCCCGAATGGGTGAACAAGCGCTTGGTCACAGGAACCAACTCAACACCCTCATTGGGCAAGTGCAAGTCAGGAGCTGTCTTGCGGACGGGGTACTTACCACGTCCCGCCGACGCCTTGCGCTTGGAGCGTGGAGGCTTAGCAGCCGGCTGCTTCCTACTCTTGGGGTGAGGCAGGGAAGCGCCAACGTCCGAAGCGGGCTCAAAAGAAGCATCTCCAGCATCCAACTCGTTGTCGGAGTCATGGCGAACCACCTTCTTGCGAGCCATACTGTAGTAGATAAAGCGAGGATATGCATGAGACATGGCACAGGGGCAAGGCAAGGACAGCGAACAGGCTGCTGGGCGGGTACTGTATACAGAAACAGTAACCATGTAGAACATCAAACCCTAAATTACTGATTTGGCAAAGATTAAGCATAGGGATCGCACAGCGGCAATAGATCGGGATAAAATAAGCACTAAACAACAGGGGGACCAAAGGAATCGAACTAATACGCAGCACGTGCACAGATCGGGCGAGGATAAAGAAATCACCTTTCCACAAAGGAAGAAAGCGACCACGAGCGGAGGACGAGCCGACCGGGAAAGACGACAGAAACCACGTGCAAGAGGACCACACGCCGAGCTGAGAGCGACCGAGGAGGGCGATGACGGGGTCGGGGCCGGGACCGCGCAGGCCAGGGCGGGCACACGGCAGGGCGCAGGCCTGCGCGCGGCGAGCAGGCACCCGGCGAGGCGCGGCACGCGAGCGCAGGGAGGGGCGAACCGCACGGGCGGGGCTCCGGGCGGACTCGGTCGACTCGCAGGGGTGGGGCGGCGTTGCCGAGTGCGGCGCTGGGAAGGACTGACGGTAGGGTACCGTGCGGCGTTGAAAGGGGCCCGACACGGATTGGGGAGGGGCGGGTGGGACGTGGGAGAAACATAGGTGGGCCCCGCGGGTAAGAGATGGGCGGCCAGATCTAAACTGAACTGAAAATTTCAGTTCGGGAGGAGAATAATTCCTGGCAAGGGTCCTCCGGACAAAACCGATAATTAACGAGAAATTCCAGCTCGGGAGGACATTAATTCCATGTAAGGGTCCTCCGGACAAAACCGATAATTAACGAGAAATTCCAGCTCGGGAGGACATTAATTCCATGTAAGGGTCCTCTGGACAAAACCGATAATTAACGAGAAATTTCAGCAAATGTGACTCCAATTTCCAGCAAAGATCTGCTGGGCCTTGAACAAGATAAGAGCGAACTACTATATATATATATATATATATATATATATATATATATATATATATGGGCTTATAAACTAAATTTGCAAGAGTGTGACTAGCCAACAATCAACAATACATAACAATAGCCATCTCTTGCAAATTTTGATCAAGGATCAAGAACCAAAATTTTAAAAAATGCACTCAATTGTTTTGAAAGCCTAGCTCTAAAAACTAGTAAATCTACAAACAAAGAGAGGCGTACTAAAATTCAAGCCACGTTTCGAGAATCAATAATACTTAGCTCACTCCTCAAAGTGCAAAACCTTGACTCATCTAAAGGCTTAGTGAAGATATCGGCTATTTGTTTTTCGGTGCTCACATGACAAATTGCGATATCTCCTTTGGCTTTGTGGTCTCTCAAGAAGTGATGCCGGATGTCAATATGTTTGGTGCGAGAGTGGTTCACGGGATTATTTGCAAGTTTTATAGCACTCTTATTGTCACACAAAAGTGGGATTTTGGAAAGTTGACATACGAAATCACAAAGGGTTTGCCTCATCCAAAGTAGTTGGGCACAACAAGCGCCGGCCGCAACATACCCGGCTTCGGCGGTGGACAAGGCAACCAAGTTTTGCTTCTTAAAACTCCAAGACACCAAAGACCTTCCAAGAATTGGCAAGTCCTGGATGTACTCTTTCGATTGACCTTGCAACTGGCATAGTCGGAGTCCGAATAGCCAATCAAATCAAAAGTGGAGCCCTTGGGATACCATAAGCCAAGGTGAGGAGTGTGTATTAAATATCGAAAAAAATCTTAACGGCCACTAAGTGACACTCTTTCGGGTTAACTTGAAATCTAGCACACATGCACACGCTAAGCATAATATCGGGCCTAGATGCACAAAGGTAAAGAAGGAATCCAATCGTGGAGCGATATACCTTTTGATCAACGGCCTTTCCATTATTATCCAAATCGAGATGCCCATTAGATGCCATAGGAGTCTTGATGGGTTTGGCATTCTCCATATCAAACTTCTTCAACATATCAAAAGTATACTTGGTTTCACAAATGAAGGTGCCCTCCTTGAGTTGCTTGATTTGAAAGCCAAGAAAGAATTTCAACTCTCCCATCATAGACATCTCGAACCTATTAGTCATGACCCTACTAAATTCTTCACAAAGAGAAGCATTAGTACTACCAAATATTATGTCATCGACATATATTTGGCACACAAAAATATCATTATTGACTTTGCTAGTTAAAAGAGTAGGATCAGCCTTTCCCATCTCAAAACCTTGTTTGAGAAGAAAATCCTTTAGACAATCATACCATGCTCTAGGGGCTTGTTTGAGCCCATAGAGTGCCTTGCTGAGCTTGTAGACATGGTGTGGATACTTTGGATCTTCAAAGCTCGGTGGTTGCTCAACATATACCAACTCAGATAGAGGGCCACTAAGGAAGGCACTTTTCACATCCATTTGATATAACTTGAAGTTGTGATGTGAGGCATAGGCTAATAAAATCTGAATTGATTCAAGCCTTGCCATGGGTGCATATGTGACGAGATCCTAACATACAGGTATGTTAAGCCTCGGGTCCCCTTCAGGATCACCCGGGGACTTGGGGGCTATGCCCATCGGGAACGCTCGTGTGCACCCTTTGGCAAAGAGACCCGACCAAGCCTGACTTGACCATAGCTTCCGCCTGGGGCTCGGGGGCTTCCTCGAGCCTTGGGCTCTAGATCTATGGCACCTTCGAGCCCAGCCCTTGGCTCCTGCCTAGCTAACGATGCCAGCCAAGGCCTAGGCACAAGAAGGCAAGCCCTAGGCCACCGATGCCTAGGGGCTCCCTAGTGCCACTCCCTATGCATGCCCCTACCAACTGCTCCTCCGACAGGTCACGTCCGGGGTGTGACACAAGAAGACAAAGCTTCCCGCGGCCTCCGAGGGCTTGGGGGCTTCTGGGCTCGCGCGTCAGCCCCCGGAGCCAACCTCCTTCGCCACCAAGAAGACTCCAGAAGGTCTCACCCAGGGGAGGCCAGTCCAAGCTAACACCCCCTAACACACAGAGTGCCAGAACAGAGCAGCCAGACGATGTCCAGGCTTCTTTGGCTCTAAGACACCTTGAGGGTCCACGGCGCACCGCTGCAAACCCCTCCTAGACTCCAGCGCACATAGATCATAGACTAGAACCCCCAAACCGCCTTGTACCCGACCTATCTCGTTATATAAGGGATAAGGTTGGACCTAGAGGGGGAGGATCCCATTTCAATCACTAGACACTCCATTCCATTCCATCCGCCTCTGCTCTGCACCGAGAGCAAGGCAACCTAGAGAGGGGCACCGAGAGCCCCTCCTCCACCGCATCCCATCGTCTCCTTCCTCTTCGACAATGGGGAGACTCCACCGATGGTGAGGCAACCTTAGGATTAGCACCGAGCTAACCCCCCTACCAAATCTTCTTCCTTTACACTATGTTGTAACCCCCTAGATTTTGGGTGCTCTTGAGTGTAAGGATCATCAGCTGCTGGACATAGGGACCGAATTGGCACAAACTAGGATAAACCGTTGCGTCTTCTCCGTGTGATTATTGTGTTCCTGAGTCCACCCAAGCCACCGGAGATTCCCATACTCTAACACCGACTCGAACAACATGCTTGCCATGATTTCGACCTCGCGATAGCTGGTGCGCCAGGTAGGGGGCGGCGTTAAGTGCAATTCTAGCTCTATGGTGGCTTGATCCATCTGCCTTGTCGCTGGAGCAAGTGGCGTCGCCCCAGGTGGTGGCATCCGCTTCCCCGGCAAGATCTCCGTCATGGCTTGGGCACTCTCCGATGGAGGAGCCCCGTACATGAAAGGGCTCACCCGATGAAGGGATCAACATGCTAAATAGCTAAGTCCCCCAACCACTAAGATCCTCTCTATTTGTTCTTTTCTTCCCAAATCGTCGATTGGAGGTCGCGCTCGCCCTACTTGAGTCGACCCGCTTTCGGGCCACAAACCTCCTTGCCCTGATCTCACGGTCGGGGAGCACAGCCGCCCTGGTCTCCCTTCCCTGACCACTGGATGAGATAAGCTAACGCCCTAATGCCTCACGATCATGACCTAGGATAACAGAGCTAACAGTTGATGACCATCGGGCTTAGAAAGGGAAATAGGCGTCGGGGATGCTCCACACTGAGATGAATAGAGCATGGAGCATGAATGGCAACAAAAGCGCAAAGATTCAATGGGTGGGCATGCCCTCAAAGTCACGCTTGTTCATAGGGGAACAGACCCCCGGGATTATAGCAACGAATTTTTCAACCAAGTTTTCGTGCAGGTCGTGGAGACGTCGGGGGGTCGACGGGCGCATCATCATCCTCTGGATACTCGTTCGTCAGCAGCAACCTATCGTCGACGATGCCAGCTGCCAACGACCAGGGGGGCTACCGCATCCTCGGCCTCCTCCATCTGCTTGTATGAGGTCTCCTTGGTGACGCTCGAGGCCATAGGATCCAAGTTGACCTCAGGGAGCCAAAGCTTCGTCAAGGTCAGGGCAGCACTGGCCCCTTAGCGGACCACGCCCCTGATAACTCCCCAACGTGCACCGTAAGAGAGCACACCTGCTCGGCAAGGTCATGTCCCCCTTCTGGCGGCGGCGGGAGCAGAGCGACACTCGCTTCCTCGGTGCTGGTGACAAGCCTTTGCAACTCCACCCGCGTCGTGTCTAGCTCCTGTCCGTGTTTCACCAGGATGGCCTGGCCCTCCACCGATACCTTTGCTTCTGCCTATAGCTCCTTCCATAGGCGGTCGCACTCCACCCACGCCTTCTCCGCCTCCTCTGCCAGCTAGAGGGCCTTGCCAAACTCGTCCGCTAGCTCCACCCGCAACCCTGCACCGCACAAAGAGAGGAACTGGGTTCATGGTGGCTCAGAGCATGAGACCCCACCCTAGAGGCGAGGGAAAGAAGGGAGAGGAAAGGACACACCTGCCACGAGCTACTGGTCCCATGGAGCTCAGAATGGGCAGCATCCCTCATGGTCTCCAGTTGGCCCAGGGATCCCCTCAGCTCCATGACCGCACCCTCAGCCGCTAGGCAGGACTCCTCTTCCTCA